TCCAAATTGGTTGATATTAACGAGGATCAACTGTATGCGCATCAACTACGACAATTATTAACCAGCTCTACAAAAATAGTTATCGCAATATATTTTTTAATAAAATACAAAATTACCGATAATCGAATTGTTTCTTAAGAGTAAAGCTCTCTAAAGTTTTCTACTCCGTTCCAGCCAAATAAATTAAAATTTTAAAATAATTTAGATTATAAATATAACATCAAATTTAAATAAAAATCAAGTTTTAGTAGAATTTTTCCATAGCCCGGAATCCTTAGCTTTATTTGTTTGCTTAATTGAATATTCCGATCTCATTCCATTATACAGTCACACCTCCCTAAGTGCATCCCGTCGGGACCATAGTGAAAAAAATTAAAATTTTGCACTTAGAGGGTGTTTGCATTTATAGAGAGTAAAATATATAGGACTCTTATAAGTTGGGGCCAAACATGATTATGAATTTAGAGGGTTTACATAGTACTTGCACTTAGGGGGGGTGCAACTGTATAGTTATTAGTGATGTCCCAATGATGTCACGGCTTAAGCCGTAATTAACTAAAGCTTATGTCGTAACTAGTTAAGACAATCATTGGGACGATTCTACTGCATCACTAGTAGTGATCTTACATCCAATAATATAAAAACTTTGATATTGGTCACTATTAATAAAAGATCGCAAATGCAATTACAATGAATAACTTGATTAATAATGATTTCTGCATTCTTTTAAATTTTATTACCAATATTACCGAATAAATGTGACCTCTGAATAAAAGCAACCCCTACTGGTTTTGGAACCAAAAATTCTTGAAAAGGTTATTATATTTCAATACCTAAACCTATAAGAAAAGTGGTCCGGTTGTGGTACAGGTTGGTTTCGGGAATGCACGAGTGTGTGGCACGTAGAGGCTCATTTTACGTGATGGCGCGGCTAAAAATGGCACGGGCATTACGGCAAAGTGGTGGCACGTTTTGTCACCTCATACGGAATGGCACGTATTGAATGATACGTATATGCACGTGTCTCAAGAGCGAAGGATCAGTAAAAAATTTTTTTTTTTAAAAAAAAACACAATGTCAAATTTTCACCGATAAAATTATTCTGGCTAACTTAACGAAAAAAATTCCTTGCAGAATTTTACACATATGCATTACTTTAATTTTCAAATACGTATTATATTGATGATTATCGATGTAAATTTATGTATGTATATTTGTAATTTAATGGTACGTGAATTTACGTACGTCCGTACCAAAACCTGTGCCAATTGGATTAGTAAAGTGTTGCAAAACCTGAGTCATTAACGGTCCAATTAGCACTAGTATACGATACAAGATCCGGGCTTGATCCGTGCCATTCCGTACAATTACAGTACATTTTTCTTATAGAGAAATAGAAGCGATCCGATCATTTTAATCAGAAAAAACACTCATTTTTTTCTTGCTACATTTTGTTGCTTTTAGTAAATAGTTGTCCGGAGCGTAGCGACGGACTATTAGTGTTTATGCAAGGTGATATAAAAATTACGTTTTTGATGCATTTGGTCCAAAAATATTTATCTTTTGATGCAGCCGCATAAACATTATGAAGAACACACCAGAAATGTAATTTGGAAATTTTTTGTCCGTCCGCACGCGTGTTCAAATTTGTAATTTAGTACAAAAATATGCGTTTGTGTTATATGATCGTCATGTGCTCCGGACACACAATACTACGCATTAACCTAGTATAGGGTAATTATATAAATTTTAATGATTGGTTAATATCCATCTTATAAACTGTATTATATAGCTCAATAAATGAATTATAGGCTCAAAAATTTCCAGATTATTATAAATTTGACTCTAAAAGCATTCGTTTTACACATCATTCGATGTTTGGACTATGCCGGAGGTGATATTTTATTGAATTTAAAGTTAGCAGAATACATGATAGAAAGCGAGCAATTGGTCAGTACAGCAGAGACATCCTACGGCAAAAGCAATTATGATTGCACTGGGAGTCTGTAGGATTAGCCGGTGTTATGCCAATTTTTATTTTTAGTTAGTGTCCTATTATTCTATCCTCATTTTATGTACTTCTTAATCTGGTATAGTTTGTGGCATAGTTGGGTGGTTGAAACCATCAAGGGGTAATAACCCTCAGCGAGGGATTAAAACCCCATACGAATTAAAGATATATAAGGATATGGCTTCAGTTTATGAAGGGAATAACGTTAGAACGATTGTTAACGATTGTTGATAGTATTTAGTATTAATATGATAATCCGATGTATGATAATAAAAAGAAACCTTATCTCGTAATTATGTGTGTTCGTTTATAAATTTAAACCCTTTAACCTTAATCTCTATTTGTTCACGATCGTGGTTCAAGACCCTATAAAGCTCTCCCACCGGTCGTAACACCGGTGGGTCATTCCCCGCCTGCCGAAGCAATCCGGCTGCAAGTGAAGTAATGATGGAATCATGTGTCTTCATGTGCGGGTGGGTCGGGTGGGTGGTGAGAATTTCTCCTTGTTGTCTTTTCAGCACCGGAAGAGCTTGGATTCGTTGTCTCTTATACTTATACTGTACTTACCCGTTTCTTGATATCTGATCCTTTGCGCCAAGCATGTGTCGTTCTCATTGTTACCCCTTTTTGGTTTGATCTTCCCACGCCCGAATTCCTGCTTCTACTTCACGCGCGATTTGAATTGCTTGTGATGCCCGTGATGTTGTGTGGCGGGAATGTTGTGTGGTTCTCTTATTTTCGATCACGTGATGTACCATCGCTTTGCAAGTGATGTACAGTATCTCGCACGAGTCATGTAAAGTATTCATTTTTAGAATATATATTAAAACTTTGTTAAATTCTCTTAGTCAAATAATTTAACTCGAGCAGGCCTGATTGTGAGTTTATGCTGATGTAGTGAATGACAACAAATAATTGTGTTCTTTACTTAATCATATGGGATCTTGCTAGGAAAATCACCCTTCGGGATATTCCGATCGAGCTAATTCGGAAAAGCTTAGACCAGAATTCCAGTTCTTACATATCGGCGGATCACGTAATTACTATTAAAAATTTTAAAATATTTGACAGAATAGCTTTTGACTCACTAGCTCATTTTAGATGATTTTACCATCAAATGACCGTCTCAGTGAGACGATTCTAAAGAGCCCAAAATCATCAAAATCCAATAACTGAATCCCGAGAAAATCGCCGGTTTGTTTTCATCGGGTAAAATAGGATGGGGTTAACCCATCCTATTTTACTCGATATAAACAAACCATTAGTGATCTCAGGATTCAGTGATTGGATTTTGATGATTTTGGGCTCTTTAGAATCGTCTCACTGAGACGGTCATTTGATGGTAAAATCATCTAAAATGAACTAGTGGGTCAAAAGTTATTCTTTGTCAAATATTTTAAATTTTTAATAGTAATTACGTAGATCCGCCGATATGATTCATGTAAATTACCTTTGCTTTATTTATTCGATAGTTTATTAAATAAACTGTCGAATCAGTAAAGTAAAAAGATGGATTACATATGAATAAGAACCGGCATTCTGGTCTAAGCTTTTCCGAATTAGCCCGATCGGAATATCCCGAAGGATGATTTTCCAGCAAAGATCCTATATGTAAATAAGTTTTTTTTTTCGAGAGAAAAGCAAATGGGCAAGTGATAATCATTAGTCTAGTTCAATTGATATTACTTATCTACAATAGATGCCAATTTGTTATCAATACATAATGGTAAACATGGGGACGCATAATTAACGTTAATGAATATGGTATACTTAGTAGTACAAGGTCATAAGAACATATAAATATCAACGCTTTTCAGTGATCCTAATTATATACGTATTTTATGATTAAATATCTGCTTCTTTGAAGATAATATAAAAATGATTCCATGTCAACCAAGAAAATTATCTTTTTATGATGAATTTGTTCAAACAGTACCAGTAAAAATTATTCCATGGATTCTATTTTTTAACTGCATATTTGTATTTGTGATTTTCACACTTTTTATTATCTATGGTATGTTACATATCTTTTTATTATCCTTTAAACCGTCAGGCAAATTATCTGTAAATTATTACGATTGATCTATCGAATTAAATTACTGCACTTTTCAAATTACTGTGATCTGCCCATCACACGGAAATCCGAAAATTTTGGCACTTTTTTATAAATCTAATTTGTTAGTAGGAATTTTGATATTATTTCGACAACCCAACTACAGTCGATACTGTCTATTGCATACTATCCGTCAGAGACTTTTAATGCATATAGACATATGCATTTAAGTCATAAGGACCATTTTTGTGTTAATAATTAAAAGTTGGAATTTTTTATGCATTGAAAGTATATGCAATTAGACAGTATGCAATTAGACAGTATATATCAACTATACCAGTTCTGATGTACTACTCGAGGCAGTACTAAATATAATAGGGAATCTTGTGAAATTTTATTTTTAGACATAATTTCAGATTTCCGTGGCGATCACCTGCTGATCACAGTAATTTGAAAAGCGCAGTAATTTATTCTATTGCTGCATAATTAAATTTCACGAACCTCATGATGATAACGGGACAGATTAATCGTTTAATCTAAAAATAATTTTTTTCTATATTATGTAGATGCTAAAGCGGATCATATATTAAAGGAGGAAAATGCTCATAGAAACAATACAGGTCTATATGAAAAATATGGCTACGATGTGTATGAATTTATTACTTTTTATATTTTTTATCTAAGTTCCAATATTAACTATTTTATTAATATCTTATCTGTTATAGGAATATGTCAGCTATTGGTCTAGTTTGTTATATTATTAGTATAATTAATTACTGCATTATTTTTTCCAGCCCCTGTCTCGTTTTTTCTTCTTCTTGGGACTGGCATCATTTAAAATTTATAATTATAATGAATATGTAATTACAACTATTATCTTTTTTTAAATTTTGATATTTATAAAAAAACTAACTACTGTTTCTTTATTATAGAATGATGACTTGCTTTTATATGGTACCTACAATTCCATACTTAAAAGATCAAATTGTTGGTCCTGATCATCAAATAATTTCATGTAATCATATTGAAGTGTTGGATGCATGGTTAAATGATTGGTGTACCTTCCATAAGCTTCGTATTATATAATCATGGCTATTGATATTTAAGTGGTTTATAACTTACCCGATTTATTTATTTATCATCTTAGTAATTTTAGGTAAAAGAGTCTATAGAATTTTAAGCTTATGTCAATATCAATATATTCTTAACTTGGTTAGAAAAACGAAAAGAAAATCAATGCAACCAAATAAGATAGTAGCTGATGATAAAAATATTAAGGAAGATACAACTAATAATGTTAAAATAGTTGTATTTGACTAATAAATTATAATGTTAAATAGTTAGTTAATTTATTATCATATATTAGACGCAGAATATTTTTTCCTTACTTTTTAATTTAAAAAATAATTTAGATATTTGAAATCAAATTTAATTATCTACAAAAATACAATATATAATAACCCAGTCCTAAAAAAAATGCCTCTAAAAAATTTTGAAATTTCATATCAAAATAAAGTTGACTCTCGTTAATATCAACCCCATTGTCCATTGATATCAACCAAAATATAAAATGAATATCTAAATATTTAGATTCCCTCATATGTGTCAACTTTAAATACTAGGTAAATGGAAGCCATTTAAGGTCTGACAATGGGTATTTTCGGAGCAAATGTTTGTTTTTATCAGATCAACCAATCAAACCTCTTAATTTGCGGACACACACACAACCAGGTCATTATGACACTCCCGTAATGTCCTTTGGACAATGACCCTCATTAATACCACTATCAATATAAATATAAAAGCGATCCAAATGGGTTGATATTAGCGAGGATCAACTGTAGGCGCATCGACTGCGGCAATTATTAACTAGTAAAAATAGCTATCGCAATATATTTTTTAATAAAATATAAAATTATCGATGATCGAATTGTTTCTTAAGAATAAAGCTCTCTAAGGTTTCTACTCCGTTCCAGCCAAATAAATAAAAAGGTTAAAATAATTTAGATTATAAATATAACATCACATTTAAATAAATATCAAGTTCTAGTAGAATTTTTCCATAGCCTGGAATCCTTAGTTTTATTTGTTTGTTTAATTGAATATTCTATTATATAGTGATTAGTGATGGGATACGTATTATTTCACCGACAATCACTTCACAGACATCTTAGTTCACCGACAATTAATTCACAGACAAGTTCATTTCACCGACAATTATTTCACTGACAGCTCATTTCACCGACAAGTATTTTTTATAAATTACACTAACCTTAACTCTAATTCTAACCTGACACTAAATGATCAGAATTACTTTGTCGGTGAAATGTTGTCGGTGAAATAATTGTCGGTGAAATGAACTTGCCTGTGAATTAATTGTCGGTGAAGTGATTGTCGGGCGAAATGCGCACAACCCTTTCTAATAATCTATATCTATAATTAATTAGTTGCATTTTAACCTTGATCTATACATGATGATGGAGAGATTAATTTTAATTCGGACTTTCTTGATAATCACTCTTGTTGTTCTTCACTTATATGGTCCTCTTAATGTCCCGTCACCATATAAGAGAAGAGCAACAAAAATAAATTCTGATACGTCAATTCAGAATTAATTAAAACTAAAAATCTTATGACAATAATCAATCGAAAATTACTACATCTCATAAAGACAAATTATTGACTTATGTATTAAATTTTTCACTTTTAATTATCAGCAATATAAAACAAAATATAGTTGTATTTCAAATTATATAAAAATTGCTATATTTTTTTATATTTATATACGCGACATAATAATAATATAAAACAACAAAAATATAATAAAATTGATACAAGATAATACAAAATCTATCTAAACAAAAAATTTTTTCAGTAAGCACTAAACCAATTGGTGAAAGTTTGGATGTTTTATTTTTTTTATAAGTTAAAACAAAAAGTAATTTTTTGAATAAAAAAAGAAGTGTGTACGAATCATAAGTTGGTATAAGTAAAAAGTGTGTAAGTGTGAAAGGTGTAAAAGTTTAAGTGAAGGTGTATAAGAAGAGTAGGGTGTGTGGCACGGCAAAAAAATTTGGCATGCCATAAGGCATGCCGCCTGACAAATTTCATGCCAGGATGCCACCCTGGCATGCCAATGGCACACCACCATATCAACCAGTTCAAAACCCCAGACGATTCACAAATCCCAAAATTTTCCGGCCACCTTAACTGTATTTTATGTTCGTCAACTATCCATTATTCCGAAAATAGACATACATATATATAATTTTATATAAGTGGCATGCCTTATATCTATTTTCTTTTAAGGCATGCCCTATGGCATGCTACCCTTGGCATGCCAGAGTGGCATGCCCATGACTGCCATGCCACACACCCTAAAGAAGAGGTTAAGTAAGGAAAAAAGAGACCCTTATATATATTTCTGCAATTTTTTTTTGACATAAACGCGTGATTTTGAAAAAAAAATAAATGATATCGATATCTGATAAGGAAAAATGTGCAATACGAGCCTGCTAGTGAAGATACACCCAATCAGATCTCTTCTAATCGATGCCAGTGTAATGTGAAATTCACGTTTTTTAAAAAACTGCCGATAGCTCAAAATCTTGTCTTGAAATGCTAAAAAAATTTTTTTAGACATATATAGATTATAACCCAATGCACATATTTGTTGTTTTGATCGAATCTTCACCTATAGGTTGGAACCGGTTTTTTATTTGCCGCTAATGTGAACCTTATAAGGGCATAGCGGTTTAGAAGGTAACCCAACTGCAAATGAAAGCTTCGGTGACTGTGACAATTAGGGGACTGTGAGTAAGTACACAAGAACCTAGAAATCTGATAGGTGGGGTTTGTCACCAATTCAGTAGAGTTAGGTTGAGGGTATATTGTGAAATTAGAGATACTTAGGATTATTGGATAAGGTAGTTCTTAGATATAGCTGTTCATATAGCCCTAGTCTCAATACACATTAAATTAATTAGAGTTATAGTATAATTAGAGAACTGCAACACCGCGGGGATAGAAACCCAGAACATCAAATGATGTACTTAACTTGTACTTAATATTATCTTAATCTAATAAAATGTCATGAGAACAGATCTCACCTTAAAAAAAAAAAAGATTATAACTAATTTTCACCCATGGTGATTCTGGTATTATAAAATTTTTATTAAAATAAATTTACATGTAGTTAAGATTAGGGTTAGGCTTAAGCTAAAGTTAGGTTAGGGTTTGAGTTTATATATATAAAATTCAAAGTTGAAAACTTTTTGCTTAGAAGTTGAAATATAGTTTTCATATAAAATTTAGAGTTATTAAAGTTTTTTTAAAATTTTTCTTTTCTTCACTTTGTTTTGGTTACACAAGATCTAGCGATCTGATTGGTTTTTATGCAACTAGGTAATATCACCTAGGGTGAAAGTTAGCAACATTCATTTTAAAATTATTAAATTTTAAATTTTCAAAATGGAACATTTCCATCTCTAAGTGTCCCGCACTGTAGCATACTGATTAGTATCAGGTATGTACTTTATCAGTTATCTGTTATCATTATCTACGTACAGTATGTACGTACCTAGTACTCGAGTCCTCGGGTGACAATTTTTGCAACCTCTATGAATTATTCAAACAATGTTATGCAACCGAATTTTTAATTATCGTTATCTATTATATATAAATGCCATCCATTTTCACGCATATCCATATAATGTAAAAATTATTGTGAGCTGGTAATAATAATGCAAGAATAAATATAATATGCTGAGTAATCATGCGATAAACGTTTTTTACACATACAGTACTATAAATTTAACAGAGTACTTACTGTATAAGCTTTATCGTTCCGATAATAATAGAACATACTAAGGAATAAAACATTTTATTGCCTTACTTTTCAATCCATAATGACAATGTAAGCTCCCTTAGTACTGTATATAAACAGATCAAATATTCGATAATTTATATAATATAGTTGAACTACTCAATAATTAACGATCGTAATGTATTTAGTGGATTTCTTAACATAGCCCGAATCACGATCAACTTACATGATCTATACTCTTTCAGGCAGAGTTGTCATAGGACAGAAACATGACATGTCCGTCAAAATGTTAACATCTCAGACAATTAAAAATTATAATAAGAGTTCCTTTTTAGCCAATGAGGTCGCTTGATAAACTTTGTGATATAGGACACCATCACGGTGTCAGACCCGAAACCGGCGAGTCTATCGCTAAATCGTTAGGAGGTTCGTGTAACCAAAGATTAGGTTACTCAGGGTCGAAAGAGGCGTGTTAGATTTGGTCGAGTGGTTAATAAACGAATGTATGTAGTTTATAGTTTATGCTTTATAAACTTAGGTACTTTATTATTATTATGTAAATCAGAGTGTTATTTTTCCCAAGGGCTGAAAAGGCCTTTATTTATAATTGTAAATTTATCTATTTACACTCATAGGATCGTTGTATAGCTAATATTTGTAATTAGTGTTCCGCAGACTCGGACCGAAACCCGGACTCGAACCGGAATCGACTCGGCGGTTCGAGTTCGGGTTTACAATTTTTCAGAACCGACCAATTCGGGTTTGTAATAACGGGTACCCGGTAGGACCCGCATAGACTCGCATGTTTAATCACCTGCCTTCAACGAATATAAAATGTTAGTGTTAGAGATCTATATGACGATGATGAACAATACGATAATGAACAATACGATGATGAACAATA